TTATATGTAAACTGTACAATTTTTCTGATGAAATCATTGCCGATTACCTGAAAATAAACTTTCTCAATCTAAAAACATAATTTTCCATTATTAGGCTTCAAATATACCTTGTTCTCAAATTCTTGAAACATGATCAAGAGGTGGATTTTATGTACACATTAAAGCTGTGTTTAGTAGAGGAATAATTCCAGCAGGCTCTCAAGATATTTTCTAAATGTGTTATCATTATAAGACCCATGGTTAATTAGAGACTTTATGCATAGAATCCATAATGAATATTTTATCTATAATTTTCTTTAAATAAGAGAATTATAGATAAAAATAATTTTAAAAAATTTAGCCACTTAGTATCATCTTTTCAACCACCAGAAAGAGAGCTTTGCCAATTGCCATTTGTAGTATTCTTCCTATCTTAAAGTTTATTTTATTTGAAAGCAAAAAAGAGCAAAAAACATGGATACCTATTCCAGATCTGATTAATGTAAAGTCAGGTGATTTAACATTATTTATGTTTTTACATATATCAGACATTTTTATATTGTTAAGCTAGTTCCAGCTAAAAAGAAGTGTTTAGTGAAAATCTCTGTTCTCACATGAACGTACATCTCTATCATTGATTATAATCACTTATCATGTGTTCTTATTGAAGATAGATATTTAGCTTTTTGTATATTTATACTTCTTTTTTATTTTCCTTTTACTTTATAGTTTGGTTTATATTATACTTTTGTTTGTTTTCTTTCATGGCTAGAATTCTACTTTGTCAAAGATTCCTGCTTTACAGGGTAGCACAAAGTCCCCAAGATACGGCTCAGCCTGCCCTAGTATGACTATCAGGGCTCCATTTTCTGACAGTTTTTTAATACAGCCCACCTCAGCGGGCTCCACAGACTGTTTGCCATACTCAGAATCAGGGAACAAGGTAAGGAGCAGGACAATAAAAGGTACAGAAAGGAATATAATTTGGGAGAAGGTTATAGGATACAATTCAGGAAATATATAAAAGCAAAAACTTTAAATTCTAAGGTATTTGACATATAAACTATAGACCCTATTAAAAACAAATACAAATTTAAAGTTTTGGTAAACAGCCATAGAGAAAATGTCTATTCTAGATTACTCTCTATTATTATTTTATTATGTGCCCAATTATCTTGTAAAATATCAAATGCAAACTAACAAAACATTTTCTATTACATGTAATATGACATATATAATATATAATATTGCATAGTCTAATAATATCATTGTATATATTATGACAATTTAGACTCAGCATCAGACATATAAGGGTTTAATACTACCTCTGCCACCTACCAACTCCATGATCTTAAAAAGAGTATATAAACTCATTAAACCTGTTTACTCAGCTTTAAAACGTGCACAATATTTTGCAGTCAGAATGAAATCATAAAAAGACGTAAAGTGCTCAGAGTTCCTGTCACACAGATGTACAATATATGGCAGTGGTCATTGTTAGGAATATTGTGCATGCAATGCCCTACTGCCAGTCCTGTCTGAATAATAAGTTATCATGCTAATGAAGATTTTTTTAGTGAAGTTAATAATTTGCTGAAGATCACTGGAGTAAATTTATTTTACCCCTATTATCATTGAGAACTTGAACTTCACAATTATCAGAACTAACTACAAAATAATATTTTTATGAAACCTCTAGGCATATATGATTCTAAGTTGTGAAGGAGAAATGCTTACAAGTATGTGAAATTCATGGTATGTACTTGAAGAAATTTATCTGTCAGAGCAGGACAAAAAATAGCCAGAGCAAGGTAATCACTTCGTATAGTTAAAATAAAGATTCACAAAAACCCGCTGTTGTTTTTGTGTTGCCCAATCAGGAGGAGTACTTGAAGAAATTTATCTGTCAGAGCAGGACAAAAAATAGCCAGAGCAAGGTAATCACTTTGTATAGTTAAAATAAAGATTCACAAAAACCCGCTGTTGTTTTTGTGTTGCCCAATCAGGAGGGACTAACCAAGAGCCCAGAAAAGCGCTCTGCTCTCCCAAGACCTTCCTCCATTCTCCCTCCTCGCCGGGGTGTATCAGGAGACAGAGACGAGAGTTCCTTCTCCCTCAACAGTTCCATCTCCTCTTCAGCACGACGGACTACCAGTAGGTTTATTGCTTTGGCTTCTTTTTTAATCAATTTTATTAAAAATCCTTTAAGTAGAATAGAGCTTATTATGTATTTATATTTTACATTTTAAAAGTAAAACATGCATTAAGAACAGATTATATTTGTCCTATCAGAAAATCTAGACTATAGATGTTTTGAAAATAGCAAAACTATAAAACAATTGGTAGAGAAAATGGGAACATATTGCCCTACTATCTATTAAATAAGATTGAGATAAAGTCATTGTTCTAAGAATATATTTTCTCTCTTTGTTTCAAATTTGGAGCAAAAAAGAAAACTCTAAAGAAATAATTGAGAAAAACAATAGTCAGGGATTTTTAAAATATACGTCTATATAAGCATAAAACTTATTAGAATTGCAAGCTCTAAAATCTAACTGGAAAGTCAACAATCAAAACGTAGGATCCTCTGAAAATGTGCAAGGATTCTCAATTACTTCTTTAGAATTTTCTTTTGTGATCTAAATTTGAAATAAGACAAAATATGTACTTAGAAAAGTGATGTTATCTCAATCTTATTTAATAAATAATAGGGTGATATGTTTCTATTTTCTCTATCAACTCACTTCCCCAGTCATACGACCACATCAAGAAGTAAGAAGCACAACTTTGACTCAGCAGGGGCTTTTCTGCCCACATGCTTTCATGTGCATGAGCTACCAGGCTTCAGATGAGGATCTTTGCACTGCTTCAAGGTTTATTCTCAGCTGCGCCCAACCTGACTGCTCAAAAAATAGTTTTGAGAGAAGACCAGACCTCAGAGTATGAGAGCCACCCATTTGTCCAACAGATGCCCTAAAATGACAGATGTCTACAAGTCAACGCTTAAAGAATAGCACTCTTTAACAGCTGGAGATCTGGAATGTCCTCAGTGTTTAAAATGTTTCCTCGATGCTACAGAGGACAACTTTGTTCATCAGACATGAGAATAGGGTGCCTGAATCGTGCTTTTTATGGTCACTATGCTCAACACATTTTGGGCTCAGTTTAACTATATTTTGAAGTAAAAGTGCACGTATTTTAGAGAATTGGAAATGACTTTGCAACTGGATTATAGTGTTGGTACTATTAATTAAAAGTCTTTAAGTTGAAATCAACAGGTAACCCAACTTACACTGACTTAAACAATAAAGGGAATTCATTGTCTTATCAAAAAAAAAAGAACAAGAAACCTAGGATCCTGCTCAATTTGTTAAGAATTTGCATTCCAAATGAGCTGTAAATGTAGAAGTTCTGTGCAGTAGCTTCAGTTTCTTTTGATTGCTGGCCCATAATCAACTGAATGGCAATTATGACAGTTTGTCCAATATTCCAATCGTTACACATTTATATGTTGCATAGCTACTAACCCTGTCCAGTAAAGCATGGATTCAAATTATTTTTATAAGTATTTTCTGTTACAACAAACATAGCTACCATTATTGGACACATATAGATGCTAAACTCTTAAGTTACATTTTTTACTCAATTTAATTAACAGTGCTGATGGTTAGAAATTAATAACCTCAATTCAGCCTTTTAAGGTACATTTTTTACTCAATTTAATTAACAGTGCTGATGGTTAGAAATTAATAACCTCAATTCAGCCTTTTAAGGAGAAGACTGACCTTTTAGAGAGGGTAAGTAACTTGTCCAATCTACACAGCTTGCAGGTGTTTCAATTTGGTTTTCAGCCAACTGATAACTTCACAAGCTGTCCTCTTAAAGTCCGTATTTACTAGACAACTGCTAGTACTAGAGAACTGCTCTATAGAATCTCTTGGAGATTAATATCTCTGTCATTTAAAAGCCATTATAAAATGGTGAGAGTTTCTACTACTATCACATTATAGCTGATTTTATCACTTATTTTTAAAAGTATTTAATAATAATTGGCCCACTTCAAATGTAACTATTTGCATGACACTTAAACAGTGTTTTTGCCTAAAATGAAAATGTTTATTATAATTAGGGCAATTGTGTCCAACACCACTTAGTTTCATGAAGTATTAGCATCTTTTGAAATATGTTCTTGCGGGCCGGCCCGGTGGTGCACTGGAGAGTGCGCCGCTTGGGAGCGCGGCAGTGCTCCTGCTGAGGGTTCGGATCCCATGTGGAGACCGGTTTCCGCTCACTGGCTGAGCACAGTGCGGGTGCAACACCAAGGGTTGTGATCCCGTTGCCAGTCCCCGGTACAGGTGCGACACCGAGGGTTGCGATCCCGTTACCGGTCAGTAAAAAAGACAAAAAGGAAAAAAAAAAAAAGAAATATGTTCTTGGAACAAG